ACTCAACATTCCCCAGGGAAGAAGGCAGGGGGGGTATGAAAGCCCATAGGGGAGCATGTTGCAAGAGAGACGGTAAAGTTCAGACATATTGTGTAGGTAAAAGGTCAACTTCAGTCAGCCAAGTTCAGCTTTGCAGAACAGCTCACAGGAAGAGGCTGCAGAGAGTAGAGGACAGAGCACAAGTTCTGGCGACTGACAGATCCCCACTATACCACTTAGTGGGTGGAGATCCCTACTACACCACTTGGGCAAGTTACCCAACATCTCAGAGCCTCAGTTTTCTTATCTGTAAAATGGGCACAATTATAGTGCCAATCCAGAGGATTGCTTTGAAAACTACTTGAAGTAGAAAAAATAACCAGTGTTCAATAAATATTAACTCCCAGCCCTCTGACCCATGAAGGTTCCAGACACATGAGGCATCATTGTGCAAGAGATGGTCCTTAACGCCCCTTAACTTTCTTACATATTAACATTATTGCTTTTAGGAGAAGATATCCAGCTCACAGGTAAGTCGTTCCTGGGTGAGCAGTGGGCGGACTGAGGCAGGGGAAAGCTGTTTCTGTTTCTAGGGAGAAGAGCTGAGATCCTGGAAACAACAGGAGGTTCAACAACCCTGGGTCCTTTGATTTCTCAACCACCCTTCAGGCAGTATCATTTCCTCTTGCTGGACTTTCATGCCTTCATCAGACAGACAGACAGACAGTGAGTGTGCCTCTGTGCCAGGCCCTGTGCTGGGCATGGGGATGGGATCCCTACCCTCACCAAGCTCCTTGTCTAGCAGGAAGCCTGGCATGGCTGCCGGTACCTACCACACACAGCAGAGAAGCCATGTGAGGCTTTGGAGGAGAGGAGCCAGGCATTTAAGGGGAAAGAGTGATGGCCTGGGTGTGCCAACAGGTTACTCTCTCCATCTTGTCCTAAAATCATTACTCTTGATCACGAACGCAACTGTTGCTCTAGCCCGTGCTGGCCCCCTTCAGTTTTTCCATCTGCAAAATGGGTTAGGGGGCCAGAGAGACATTCATTCAGTGATCCCTTAAGGTTCCTGTTTTGGAGAATTTTGTGAAATGAGTCCTGTGGCCCACATTGATGTTTTAATGAAAGATTACAGCAAGCTCTGTTTGGAAAATTTCACAACAGGCCTTGGACCCATCTGGCTTTTCCTCCATGGGGGATACAAGTGGAGCAATGACAGATGGGTGTCGTGTGATAAAGGGAGACCATCCTCCTCACTGATCTTCTTTATCATCTTTCTTCCACCTCAATCCAATGCAAGTCTGTCTGGCAGGGTGAGCCCCAGGCTGGGCTCAGTCTCTGTACCTCAGTCTCAGTACCTCAGTGTGAGACTCAGTCTCTGTGCTCAGTCTCTGTGCCTCAGTCTCTGTACCTCACAAATGGGGATGAGCCCTCCTGTGTAATGTGTCAGGGAGAGCAGAGGGCACTGACACTCGGGCTTACCAGGGCCCCCTAGAGCCTGTCCTCCACCCTCTGCGAACTCCAAATTTGTAGCACACGGTTGGGTCCAAGAGGCTAGCTTGGGGAGAGTGTCATTCAGCTTCTGGGCACATCTGAGAGTAGCTTTGTGGCAGGAGCTGATGATCTCAATGATAAACGGGTCTCTAAATGAGTCCTTACAACATGAAGCTGAGAGTCTGTGGTTAGGAGAGGAAGGGAGGGAGGAGAGACAGAGACGGAGGTCAGGGAGGGATGGAGGGATGCATCCAGCAGCCCTCGCGCCAGCCTCCCTTCCTCCTTCCCGGCTCCTTCCCTTCTTCCGACCAACATCTGTTACATTCCTACTGCATGCAGGGCCCTGGCTCGGAGGCCCTAGGGATGAAGCCCACAGAGTCCCTGCTTCCCGACAGAGAGGAAGAGCAACGCAGTGTGGTCAGCACTGTAATGGGGGGAAGCCAGGAGGTTGTGAGGACACGGATGTGGTTCCAACCTGACCTCATGGGGCGGGGGGTGTGAGGGAAGGCATTCTATGGATGGGAAGGCTTGCAGGACAAATCCACCAGGGAGAAGTGAGTGCTCCTGGCAGAGGGAACAGCAGGGGCAAAGGTTTAAAGGGATCAAAGAAAAGCCTAGGAAAGCTTTGGGCTGGAGCACAGGATGCAGGCGTTGGGGGCTGTGGGGAGTGGAGACGGACAGCCAGAGGGGGCAGCTGGAGAAAGAGCCCAAATGGCCTTGAGTCTGAATGGCCTTCAGTCCCAGCCAGGGGACCTCAGACTTCATTCTGAGGCCCCAGGGATGAGGGTAGGGTTTTCTCAGGGCGGGGGATGGCTGGGGCTGAAGGGAGGACAGTGGACTGAAGGAGCTAGAACCAGGAGCAGGGTGTGTGTGGGAGGGTCCCCTGATTGCTCAATGTGGCTTTTATTCATTGCCTCGAGAAGCACTTCTTGAGGGCCTGCTCATCCCCGTGCACAGCACAAGGCCGGCCAGCCCCTCCACAGTGCACAAGCTCAGGAGAAAATGTATAGAAAGAGCGTTGACAAAGCCTCCTTTGTGATGAACCCTGGGGCCGTGTTGGCATGATGCTCTGCTGCCCTCTAGCGAGGCCTGGCGATGCACCCCTGCAGGGTCCAGCCAGCTTCTAAGATGTGCTGAGCTTCTGTACATGCCTTCTCTCTATCCCTCCCTCAACCACAGGAGTCCCACTGCTCCCTAGGAAAAGGGGCGGTCTGGAAGTGGAGGACAAGCTCAAAACAGGGTGATGAGGGGAGGTGGACACAGAGGGACTCAGTCCCAGCTGTGGGAACAGGCAGCATCAGGGTCAATGAGGGGCTTGGGGCCCAGGTACTGCATCTTGAATTTTCTCAAGTGAATAAACACAGACTACATACAATGGTAACAAAGATGATGGTGGTGGAGACGGTGGTTGCAGTGACTAATGATTATGGGCACTGCTGGTTATTGGCAGTGCTGATTACGCGCACTGCTGGCAGGTATTGGTGATGGGGTGATGGTGGCAGTCGTGATGACAAAGACAGAGGTAGAAATAGTGGTAGCGGTGATGGAGGTGGTGGTTAAAATGACTGTAAAGCTACACAGAATGTTCTTGTATATGTCCTTAGGCGGAAGTGTGCACTCATTTCTATTGGGCACAGACCTAGGAGTGGAATTGCTGGGTCATAGGACAGGTATATGTTGAGCTTTAGTAGATGTTGCCAAACAGTTTTCCAAACAATGGTCGTATTTACACTTGTCATGTGTAAGTTCCTGGTGCTCCACAACCCCACAAACACTTAGCGTTGTCTGTTTTGTTCACTAGAGTATCTCAAATGCCTGGAAGCCTGGCATAGAGAGGAGGCTTAATGAAAATCTGCTGCATGAATGCTCCACGTGAGGGTGGCAGATGTTCACATTCACCATGAGAGACCAGAACCAGAACTTTGCTCCTGCTTGTAGACACCCAGTGACGGCCACATTCGGATCCAGGTTGGGAGCCTGGTGTAAACGTCCTGACCAAACAGCTCGTCACACCCCAGGTGCACATGTCCCTTGTCTCTGCACTTGTCTCAAAATCCCTTCAGTGTGGCTCCCCTCACTCCAGTTTGAGGAGGAACAGCAATCTGATGAAACCCATGCACACTAAGATGTGAGTGACTCATAGACCTTAACCCTCGTTCACTTACTGGGTTTACGACATGAAAAAAAGGCAACCTGCCACAGCAGACAGCAAAGAACTTAGAGTTCCTGGTTTTGGATTTAAACTCTCTCAGTTGGGCCACTTACAGCTATTTTCTCCTTAGACAACTTCCCCTGCCTATCTCTATTTTCCTGTTATGTTTTATTCTGTTTTCATTTGAAAAACAGCAATGGTAATTCTTGTCCTATCCACCTCAAGGATTCAAAAAATATAATAGATTAAGGAACTTCAGAGTTGAAAAGACTCTTGGAGATCATCTAGGGATTTTTATTTTTGCTTTTAAATAATTCTTTACAATATATGAATCACTTTCAATTATAGTTTCACTGAAATCACAGAACTATATAAAATAAGGGCAGGATCATTAATCTCTTTTCGTAGGAAGGAAACAGGCTAAAAGGGGAAAGGACTTGCCCAGGGCTCTGCGGTTTGTTAGTGGCAGAGCTGGAGGCGGCTCTTTGCTCTACCTAATTCTCCCTGCAGATCTAGCTAGAAGGCCCTATAAAACCAAAAGGTCAAAAAACAAACAAACAAACAAAAAAAAACCCAAAAGGTCAACTGGGCTCTTGCTTGCATGCCTCCAGTGCATGGGGAACTCACTGCCACCCAAGATAAATCATTTGCTACTTGGGTGGCTCTGATAGTTGGCTGTCATTTGTGGTGGTATAGAGCATGTTTTGTCAAGAGGGGGTGATTATTAGAGCTTTCATTCTAATGTTTCTTTGAAGGAAGAGGAATTTACAGAAATATTCAGAGAACATGCAGAGATAGCCAGAATGGCAATAATTATAACAATCGATACCTACTGATGGTGTCACTTCCCTGTTGGTAACCCTTCATGGGCTTCCTGATTCTCTGAGGAATGCGTCCAGATTCTTTGATGTGCCTTTCAGTGAGCTGAGTCCAGCCTCAAACCAGCTCTCAATGCCGCACACATCTCCCCACCCCATCCTGGCCTTCCTGCAGGATATGCTCCCTCTGCCTGGAACACACTCACCCACCACTCTCACCTCCCTGCTCCTACAGGCCTCTGAATCCCACCCCCTCCTCCAAACCCCTGCACATCAGATTGCACTTACCTGTCTCCGTAGCGCGACTATGAGCTTGGAAGGGGCAGGATCTGCATGTGATTCCTCCACCCGGTGCCCTGCATGAAGAATGGCACTGAATGGGTGATTGCCCCGGCCCAGCATGTTCACAGACGTCTCTGCTGCTCTCATCAGCCAGGCCAGGAGAGAGTTAAACAGCCTCCCTGGCCTTGGATCAGCTCCGGCATTGGAGAGGCAGGAGGCCCAAAGTTTAACCAGATGCTTCAGAGCCTGTTGTCAGCTCAGCTCAAGGAATTCAGTCCAGCCACATCTTCCTGGTGCTGAGACCTGGGCCCCTCCCACCCCTCTAGACCCCTTTCCCCTCCTGGGGCTCTGAGCTAGAGGAAGCTGGAACTGCTGGGGAGGGGTAAGGTGGGGAGGAAGATTACAAAACTGGAGGAGTAGGCAGAGAAAGTAGGAAGAGCCTGGTCCATGCTCTGCCCAGACGTGCTGTGTGGCCCTGGCTGAGTCCTTCCCATCCCGGCCTCAGTTTCCCCATCTGTGCACAGAGGAGGCTGGTCTGGGTGGTCCCTCCTGATGGGACTGGCCAAGGGCAAGTGATCCTCAGACTCGAGTCCCCTAGCTACAGACTCTCTCCACCGCAGAGGTGGCTGTGGGTAAATCTTTAACTAGCTAGCCCTGGGTAGGCCCAGCCTTTCCGGATGGATGGCTGCCTGGGAAGGGGGGGATGAGGGTGGAGGATGGAAGGTGTGTATAGCCAGTCCCAGTGTGGTGAAGGGGAGGGTACTGGGGAGGGAAAAGAACGAGACTCGGGCGGAGCTAACCCGTGTGCAAAGCAGAACATGGAGGAACGCGGGTCCCCCGACGGGTAAGTACAGATTTAGGGAGGTTCAAGGAGCCGCTGGCGCAGGGATGGTTAACTCGCGTTGCTGCCACAGGGACCCCGCGCGGAACCTGGAGCAGGGACCAGAGGGGCCAGAAACGCCCATCCAGGTGGTGCTCAGGTGGGTATAGGTTGGCTAGGAGGGGTCCAAGCGAGGAAGGCACTGACGGAGATTTCAGGATGGACCATCCACCCCCTCCCTGCCTCTTCGGACCACAGGGTGCGTCCCATGAGCGCGGCGGAGCTGCGTCGAGGGGAGCAGAGCGTGCTGCACTGCTCAGGGACCCGGACTCTGCAGGTGAGGACCTCCCACGCACTCCCCCAAAAACACCTACCGGGAAGATGCCAGGTCCCTCCAGGCCAATTTCCCCCAGGCCCCGCACTCCCCCAGGTGAGCCCCGCCCTCCCCAGAGTGCCCCGCCCCCTTCTCCACGGCCCCCTCTCCCAGGTGAGCCCCCCGGGCGGGGGCCCCGACGTGGCGTTCCGCTTCGGCGCAGTGCTGGACGGGGCGCGCACGCAAGAAGACGTGTTCCGGGCCTGCGGCGTGCGGCGCCTGGGCGACCTGGCGCTGCGCGGGTGAGTGAGGCCTGGTGACGCCCCGCCCCCACACGGCCCCGCCCCCTCCCCCCGCCCCTCCCTGGGTACAGCCACACCCCTGCGGCCCGCAGCTTCTCCTGCACCGTCTTCGCCTTCGGCCAGACCGGCTCTGGGAAGACCTACACCCTGACCGGACCTCCTCCCCAGGTGGGCCGATCGCATTCGGAGCCCGCAGGGGTCAGGGGTCGGTGGGCGAGAAGCCCTGGGGAGCCGCAGGCAGCGCAGACTCCCAGAGGGAAGCGACGTGGACGATGAGGCCCAGCCCCATTTATTTGCAGACAAGGAAACTGAGGATCAGGGAGGTGAAGGCACTTGGCCAGTCTAGAGCACCTGGGTTCAAATTGTGTCCCCTTTATTTACTAGCTCTCAGTTTCTTCATCTGTAAAATGGAAGTGATAGTACTGACTGAGAATTAAATGTGATGTTGTATGGGAATTGGGCACAGTGCTCTACAAAGGGTAATTATAACTGCAGCGGCGGTGGTGGTAAGCCAGCCCCAGGCTCAGCTGTTTCTTCCCCCAGGGGGAGGGCGTGCCCGTACCCCCCAGCCTGGCCGGCATCACGCAGAGGACCTTCGCCTGGCTGTTGGACCGCGTGCAGCACCTCGGTGCCCCTGTCACTCTCCATGCCTCCTATCTGGAGATCTACAATGAGCAGGTGGGGGACTGAGAAGGCTAGAAAGACAGCCCACAAGGAAAAGGAGGCATTTCTTTCCAAGGAGGCTGGGTCAAGGGGCAGAATAGATGGGGGACTGTCGACCATGAGGTCTCAGGGTGGATGAAGCAAGAACTCAGAGAGGCCCCTCCCTCACCCTCCACCCTCCTCTCTCAGGTCCGAGACTTGCTGAGCCTAGGGGCTCCCCAGCCCCTCCGTGTTCGCTGGAACAAGACGCGGGGCTTCTACGTGGAGCATCTTCGGGCGGTGGAGTTTGGGAGTCTGGAGGCCCTGATGGAACTTCTGCAAATGGGTGCGTGCTATTTCAGGGGAGCTCTGGGGTACGAGAGATGCCCATTTTTCACTTGTTCAGTGAGTGCCCTCGGGGCCCCAGCCTGGAGCTGTGGGTTCAGAGATGACCCTTGGGGGAGAAAAGAGCCAGCAAACCAACAATTCAAATACAGCCCAAGAATGTCCCCCACCCCTACCCCCCAGGCCTCCTGATTTTGCCTTCCAGACTCTTCCCACCCTCCTCTCCAGCCCTAGGCTTCTGCCTCAGTCAGGCCTCATTTTTCCCCCCTGGAAGGGTCTCCTCCTTTCAGTCCATGCTTCTCCATGTAGCAAACCACATCCCGCTTCCCTTCCAGACCTTTCCAGTGCCATGAGAGTAAAGGCCATACCTCCTAGCCTAGCCTAAAGGCCCTTCAGTTCCACTCTCATTCATCCATTCATCAGATTTTTATTGAGCACCTACTGTGGCCGGCATCAGGGACACTGAGACCCTGGGCTCGGGCCGAGCATTGTGCCGTGCCTCCCAGCTGATCTCTTTGTCTGAGTTTCTCTCCGTCCACACAGCAGTGGGAGAGATGTTGATAAATGTGAATCAGACTGACATTCTTCCACTCAGTTCTCTCCAGCCCCCTTTCACCGATCTGTGCTAGAGCCCGACCAGCACCCATCATTCTACTCTCCTGCCTCTGTGCCTTTGCACTGGTTGGGCCCTCTACCAGGATGCCTTTTCTCCTTTTTCTTTGTTGGTGACCACTTGCTCTTCCTACCACGTCCAGCTCCATATGTTTTTCCCCTCTAGGTCTTAGCCGTAGAAGGAGCTCAGCTCACACCATGAACCAGGCCTCCAGCCGAAGCCATGCCCTGCTCACACTATACATCAGCCACCAAACTGTGAGTGCCCCAGCTTGGGGAAAGAGCTGGCCCAGGGCCACCCAGCAAGGGTCTGCCTCTGGCTGGGCGTTCACAGGAGGTAATGGTGAAAACCCTTGGCCTTGTGGCTTTGATGGGGACAGCCCCTCCCACGTCCCCATCAAGCCCTGCTCCCCCAACCCCAGCAGATGCCGCCTGTGGATCCCGGGGAACCCCCTGCCGGGGGGAAGCTGTGCTTTGTAGACCTGGCTGGCAGTGAGAAGGTGGCAGCCACAGGATCCCGTGGGGAGCTGATGACTGAGGCCAACAGCATCAACCGCAGCCTGCTGGCCCTGGGTGAGATGTGGGGCCAGCTGGACTGACTTCCTGAATCCCTCCTCTGTGCCTTACCCATAGCTGTCCGCAGTGAGGGAAACCAGAGGAGTTGTAGGGCATGGAGGAGAGTTAAAGAGCTGTGATTCAGAAGCCACAGGCCTCCCTCCGGCCTCGGCTGGCTGTTGTCTCATGCTTTTTCCCTCTTAGAACTTTGTTTATAGATCTATAAATACTGGGGATACAGTTACATTCTAACTGAGGAGGTAGAAACACTCAAGTGCAGAGTGTGAGCCCTCAGACATTCAACTTGTCCCTTGTTGCCTTTGGGAAGACTGAGGCCCAGTGAGGGGAAGGGCACTAACATGTCTTCCCTCCTCCCCATCCCCCAGGTCATTGGGCCTTGAGGTCCTTAACAGCTGGGGCCTTGGCCTTCCTCTGTGCACGCATGGGGAGACGCATAGGGAATGCCTCTTCATGTGATTTATTTGTCAGACATTTCCTGAGCCCCTGCCAGGTGCCAGGCCCTTCGGTGGGCCCTGGGGATCAGGGATGGAGCCCCGTCTGGTGGCAGAAGCCAATCTGAACGGGTAATGAGATCACGTGGAAAGAGATATCTTAGAGACCTACAAGCCTGGGTGGAGATCCTGGCTCTGCAGAGTACCCGCTGGGTGGCCTTGGACATGAAGGGTAACCTTGCCTTCCCCACCCAGGTCACTGCATCTCCCTGCTGCTGGACCCACAGCGGAAGCAGAACCACATCCCCTTCCGGGACAGCAAGCTCACCAAGCTGCTGGCGGACTCGCTGGGGGGGCGTGGGGTGACCCTCATGGTACCTAAGGGGGACTGGCGGGGAGGGCTGGGTCCTGAGGGAGGGCTCCCAGAGAGGAACACTCAGGGGCAGTCCTCCCCAGGTGGCCTGCGTGTCCCCCTCAGCCCAGTGCCTTCCCGAGACCCTCAGCACCCTGCGATATGCAAGCCGAGCTCAGCGGATCACCACTCGGCCCCAGGCCCCCAAGGTGAGTGGAGAGAGACCCAGGCAGAGGGCTGGGCAGGGCAGAGGGTGGGGGATCAGGCAATAGCTGGGGACTGAGTTGGTGTCCCGTTGAAGTCTGGGACTGAGTCATGGTTGGGATTAGGGTCGGAATCTTGATGATGGGGTTATGGTTGGGGGCAGCGGGGGCGGGTCACAGTCAGGGTTATGGAGGGTCTAGGGTGGGAGTCTGATTAGGAACATGATTCAGGGTCTGGCCAACATCCGAGCTGCTATCATGATAGGTCTGAGTTAAGTTGGAGTCTGACGTGGGGTCTTATTTGGGGTCAGAATCTGGGCCAAGGTTTGAACAGAGCTGAGTCTGGGGCTGGACAGGGAGTGGGGCGTAGCTTCGAGCGGGCCCTCCAGGCGCTTCAGTGCTGTTAGGACAAGGTGCCGCCTCCAGATGGATGCAGCCTTGGGCCAGGACTCAAGGCTGACGAGTGGGGCATGGGCTGGATTCTAAGCTCCACTCAGTCTGCAACCCCAGAGCCCTTGTGCAGCGTGAAATGTTTACAACCACAAGCAGCAGCTCTGGGTCTGTTTCTCTGCAGTCCCCTGTGGCAAAGCCACCCCAGCATCTGGACACTGAGCTATTGCAGCTCCAGGAGGAGAACCATCGCCTGCGGTCCCAACTGGGCCAAATGGACCCCAAAGGTATGAGCTCCCTGGGGGTGGAGTGAGATGAGGATAGGGTCTGGGGCTCCTGGGGCTCCAGCTACCTCCCTCTTTCCTGCAGCCTCTGGACTCACTGCGGCCCGGGTGTCCTGGGCTCAGCGGAACCTCTACGGGATGCTGCAGGAGTTCATGCTGGAGAACGAGAGGCTCAGGTAGGGCCCTGCCCACCCCCGTGCCCCGCCCCTCACTGCTGGGCTTCCTCCTTTCCCTGGTCCCTGGCTCCCCTTCTGTCCCCACCTGCCTCCTGGGGCTCCTACTGTGCTGCAGTGAAGAGAGGCTGACTGATACCCCCGCCAGCCCTACCTCCTGTCATGGTCCCGGGGCCTGCTCTTCCTAGGAAAGAGAAGAGGCAGCTGCAGAGCAGCCGGGACCTGGCCCAAGATGAGCAGCGCATCCTAGCTCAGCAGGTCCACGAGCTGGAGAGGTGAGCGTGGCCGGAGACAAGCCTTTGGATGGAGGGCAGGTGGGAAAGGGGTGGCTCAGTGAAACGGCTAGGTCTGATCTCTGGATCCAGACCACCTGGGTTCTGATTCCAGCTCTGCCACCAGCTGTGTGGCCTTGGGTGAGTCATTTAGCCTCTCACTGCCTGGGTTTCCTCTTCTGTAAAATGGGAATGATATAGTACTTGCCTTCCAGGGTTTTTGGGGGGGGGGTTTTATAAATGTTTTTTTCGGGGCACGAACCCGTGTCCCCTGCATCGGCAGGTGGACTCTCAACCACTGCGCCACCAGGGACGCCCTATAAATTTATTTATTTATTTATCTTGGGCTGCGTTGGGTCTTTGTTGCTGCGTGCGGTTTTTCCCTGGTTGTGTTGAGCGGGGGCTACTCTTTGTTGCGGTGCGCAGGCTTCTCACTGCAGTGGCTTCTCCTGTTGCGGAGCATGGGCTCTAGGCACACGGGCTTCAGTAGTTGTAGCACGTGGGCTCAGTATTGTGGCTCGCGGTCTCTAGAGCACAGGCTTAGTCGCTGTGACTCACGGGTTTAGTTGCTCCACGGCATGTGGGATCTTCCCGGACCAGGGATCGAACCCGTGTCCCCTGCATTGGCAGGTGGATTCTTAACCCCTGCGCCACCAGGGAGGTCCTCTAGGGTTGTCTTAAAGATCAGATTGAATAAGTTCATGTGTAAAGCATTGAGAACAGTGCCTGCATGTAGTAAGCACTCCATGAGTGTTTGTTAAAAGCAGGACGTTGGTGCCAGCCTGCTGGTAGCATTGAGGACTACAGACAGACAGACCCCACTGTTCTTTCCAGGCGCCTCCTCTCTGCCTGCTACCTTCCCCAGCCGGGCCCTGGCCCAGCCCCACCGTGTCCCTGTGTGATGGTGCCACCTGCCCCCTGCCACGTGAGTCTCTGCCCAGCCCGGAGAGGGGAGGAGCAGGAATGTCACAGAGCCCCTGACTCAGCCTCTTGCAGGCCCTGCCGCCTCTCTGCCCCTGCCCCTGCTGCCACCTCTGCCCCCTGTGCCAAGCGCCACTGGCCCTCTGGGCCTGCCCACGGAGGGAGCTCCACCTGCCCCAGGTAGGAAAGGCCGAGGTGGGGGGAGGGAAGGCTGGCAATCTGGAGACCTGGATCTAGGGAGTCTGCAGTCTGGAAAGCTCCAGAACTCCGGGGCTCTGATGTGCTGGGCTGGGTCATAGTGGGGAGTGGCTGGTTTTGGGTTCTCTCTGCCCAGGGTTCAAAACAGCTACTTACTCTCCTGCCCCTTCTCCCCATCCTACCTTCTTTCGGGAACGTGCTCTGCTGTTTGCGTACTCATTCATTCACTTAACATGTTACTCATTTATGCATTTACTTAATGAATGAGTTAATGGATGCATTTACTTAGTGAATGGGTGTTCACTTCCTCGTTCAATAACCCTCCTTAAGCTCCTTGCTTCGTGGCAGCCCCTGTTCTGGGCACTGAGGATTCACAGACCTGACATGGTTCCTGCCCTCATGGAGTTCCTTGTCTCCAGAGAGGACATCACAAGGGCCACGCACTGCCCACAGAAAAAGTGACCATGAGCCCACCCCTTTATGCCCACCTGACATTCTTAGTGCCCCATAGGGCAGGTACGGCAGGGATGGTGGTGACATGGTCGGCGCCAGGGAAGTAGGGCACAGAAGCAGGGCTGGGGTCACCCAGTGCGGGCTCTGGTCTTGCCTGCAGGTGTTTGGCTCTAAGGCCCCAGCTGACATGCCCCTGTCTGCCCGGCCCCCACCCTGGGTGCCCCCATGTAGCCCTGGCTCTGCCAAGTGCTCAAGAGAGAGGTGGGTCCAGCTCTGGGGCACTGGGGGGTGGGGGTGGGGGAGGAGGCCCGGGAACGCGAAGGCTCGCTTCCCACCACCCAACCCACCCTGGCCCAGGAGTCACAGCGACTGGATTCAGACCCAGGTCCTGGCAGAAATGCTGACCAAGGAGGAAGTGGTACCCTCTGCACCTCCCCTGCCCATGGGGCCCCTGAACACATCGCCAGTGCTTAGAGGTGAAGAAAGGAGCAGGGGAAGGACTGCCAGTGTTTTCTGTGGTCTTGGGCCAGAACCCACCTTCTCCAAACCTTAGTCCTCCCATTTCTGAAATAGGGGGCATATTAAGAGGTGAGAGTTCTAAGATCTCTCTATTTCTGGAACTTAGAATTCTCTTCCTAGGGCCACCTGCACTCCCAGATGTATGCTGGAGCCCATGGGGTACATGGCAGGGGGAGGGGAGTGGGTACCACCTGAGGTTTCCCCAGAGGATGTTGGGACCCTGATGGGCCTGGGTGAGGCAGGGTCCAAGGGAGTGCTGGCCTCAAGTCCCACTGTTGTCCCTCAGGTGGGGCTGCAGTTCCAAACCTGGCCCGGAGACTGGAGGCCCTCAAAGACCAAATTGGCAGCTCCCTTGGACGTGGCCGGAGCCAGCCACCCCCCAGTGAAGGCACTTGAAGCCCCAGGCCGGAGCCAGCCACCCCCAGCGAAGGCACTGGAAGCCCCAGCTGGGTCCTCCCTTCCTGCTGAGGGCAAAGTGCGAACCCAGGAGACCACCATGTGACCTAGAGCTGTGCTCTGCACTCCTGGGCCTCAGTCTCCCCATCTGTTAAATGGGTTATAGCAGCTGCTGCTCCAGTTTGCAGCTGGGCTGGGCGGAAGGCAGTTCCTGAGGCATGGGGGTGGGGGCTGATGGGGCAGTCTGGGCAAGCAAAGGGAGGGTGCCAGCCTAGACCAGGAGAAATGAGACCGGATTCAGGAGAAACCAGGTAGCAGTGGTGAAATAAATGAATAAAGAGAGGCATCCCCTCTAAGTCTGGTTGGTCCTGTCCTCTGACTTGCCCTTGAGGGAATCCCAGAGAGATTGGGGGGTTGGGGGGTTCTGAGGAAGAGAAGGCAAGGACTCCTGGCAGAGGTGTGTGTCCCCTTGCCCTCTGATGAGGAATATTTCAGGTTCCCATTTCCTTTCATGTATTATACAAGTTTTCATTGAGCAACTACTCTATGCCGCTGGGCAGGCACGGGGAAATTGAATGGTGAGCATCTCCATGGAGGAGGCCTGGGGGAAACTGATTTGGCCTTGAGCTGGGGCAGGTGGTGGACCGAGGGGCTCACACTCTCTGTCCCAGCTGCATGTGTCCTGGTGCTGGAGGGATCATGAAGCCTGAATTCTGATGCCGCAGATCGGCTCTGAGACCCTGGCCAAGCCCTGCATCCTCCCTGGACCACTTTCTGGTTTTCAGTCCATTAGACATGGCTTCCTGTCCTGTTGATCTCTAAATGAGGGTCAAGGAGGTTATGAATATCATGATTCCCAGCACAGTGCCCAATAGGATGCAGTGGGTCTGCAATCAGGGGTAACTCCAGATGTGACATGAGAAACTGGGGGTGCACGTGGGAGGACCTCAATGCAGAAAGAGCCACGAGGCTAACCTAACTCTCACATTTTATAGTTAGGGAAACTGAGACCCACATGGCTCATTCCTTTGTTTGTTCATACATTCACTCACTCATTCAGCAGACACCACTGGCCACAACTGTAAATCAAGGTGGCAAAGAAGACAGACAAGGGACAAGCTGGCTTTGCCTGGGGAGCTCACAGTCTGGTGGGGGACAGACAGACAGACACTTACAACCTCACACATGTGCTTTGATGGGGGAATCCCAGGGCAGTGGAGGCACAGAGGGTCACCCAATCAGAAATTGTCAGGGAAGGTTTGCCAAAGAGAGCCACGATTAAGTTTCAGAGGGTGAACAGCATTTGGCCCAGGGCAGGTGGAGGGGCTGCAGAGGCAAAGGCTCAGAGTTCCAAAGGTTGCCTGGACCACGAAGTGCATGGCCTTGTCTGCCACATCGGGGGTTGGGGTTTGTCCCGAGGATGGCAGGGAACCACAGAAGAGTCTTAAGGAGTCACCAGCTTAGGTCTGCATTTAGGTCACACTGGCCACTGTGGCAGTTGGACTAACTGGTAAGGATGAGCTGGAGGTGGAAGACCAATGAAATGATCAGTGCAGAGAGAGGTGAGATGCCCCAACCAGCGGTACCTGAGCCAGCCTCAGGCTGGGTATCCCCTGAGACCTAGGCGCTGGGCACTGGGCTCAGGCAAGACCCCAGGCGGGGACCCCTCACTACGGGCTTGGGGAGCACTGGGGAAGGGGCAGGCGGAGGCCGGAGGACAAGCCAGGGAGCCACTGGGGAGAATCAGGGCGCCTGGGGATGCGCCCGGGGAGGGGTTGCATCCATCGTCTGGAACAGTGCTTGGACCTGCCCACAGGCCTGGCCTGAGAAAATCAACTCCGACTGCCCCCACCCCACTCCCCAGTGCCAGACCAAGCAAGAAAAGACCCAACACTCTTTTACCCACCGCTGTGGAAACTAGCCCAGGGAATGTTCCCTAATTATGCCCTATTTTCCCGGGGGGAAGTAAGTAAGGACCCAAAGATAAAAGCAAGGTGTCTACAGGCTACACTTGAGTGTGCAGTGTGACCTGGGGCAGGCTCCTGGGACTCTCGGAGGCTTCCCCACTCCCAGGGCCCTGACTCCTGAGTCCCTCTCTGCAGAGCTGGGCCCTGAAGCTGGGTGTGTCAGGGTCATCCCTGGCTGGAGCCCCCAGTGGCCATGGATTGAAAGGCAAAACCTGTGACTGTGAATAGAGGTGTTTGTAGAAGGCTGGAGTCCATGGAGGCAGAACCCAGGGTGGTGGGGTGACAGCCAGACACCACAGGCACCGGGCCAGGCAGGGTGGGCGGGTTCAGTCCGTAGACGGAATGACACAAGTTCAAGTCTCAACATCATCACTTACCACGAGTGATCCTGGGCAGGTGACTTAACTGCGCTGGCCCGCGTCACCTCATCTGCAGAATAGATACATGAACAGTAGCCCCTCATGGGACAGTCATGAGGATTAAATCCACTGACATTTGGAAAGATTTTAGCACGAGGCTTCGCCTGTTGCGGGTAATTTAGCCAAAAGCAGCTTTTAGTCGACGTGACAGTTTGACAGAATTGACAATCTGGGTTCCGAAACAATTTGCTCAACAAGTATTTAATTGAGAAACAACTTTGGGCCAGCACTGAACAAAGCATAGGAAGCCTTACCCTCAACACAGACAAGAAACAAGACATTGGGCAAAACACATGGGAAGTCAGATAGTGATAAATGCCATGGAGCAAAACAGAGCAGGAGGTCCATCTGTCAGGGCGGATGCAGTTCTATATAGGGGGGTTAGGAAAGGTCTCACGCAGGGGACATTTGTGCAGAGACCTGAAGGGTAGAAGGAGGGCAAGCCGGACTAATGCCGTAAAGCCACTTTTTTCTACTCTAGGTGCTTTTGATGTTACATCAGCTTGCGTGGCTCGGCAGGTTTGAGCCTGGGCTCCTCCATTCCCCAGAGCCCTTTTCTCACTCTAATGTGGCCCTGCTTGCTGGGAGGTCTCTAGCCTCAGGCAGAGGAGGCCCCTGGCACTGAGCGTGAAAGCTTTCCTTGGCTGCCTTGGGAAGAATGGACAGGGAACACCCAGGGGGACCTTGGCTGTTGCCGATTCATTCTTGTTTGGACGATTCCTCCTCCCACTGGAGCCACCCACGATTTTCCGGTTTCCTGGGTCCAGCTCAGCAAAATCCCTACTTGCTTTCCCAGAGATAGATTCAGGACTCAAGGTGAATAGTCCCCACTACCCCCATCCCATGAACCACGTGTCCATCTCCCAATCGGCATCCTTACTCAAGAACTGCAGCTTATCCAGAATCCCTAACCCTGGAGGAATTCCATCGGACCCCAGTAATGTATCAAGACTCTTCAAATCCTGTGGTTTTAACTGAGAACAGTAGATTCCACAGGAAAGCTTTCTACAGAATGCCAGAATTGGAGGAATTTCTCCGGCCCCACGAAATAGGGTAGTAGTTCTCCAGGACTGTCCAACGTTGAAGAGGAGCTCTGGTACATTAGAGTTGGGGGCAGCTCTTGGAAACCCTGAAGCACTGAAGGAATTTCCCAGAATTCCAAATCTCTAGCAGAGTTCTCTGAAATTGTAAACGTTTGCGTAGAAGTTGGGAGGGATTCTCCGGAGTCTTTGGCTGGGGGTGAGGATGGTCACCAGTGCTTGGAAGGCCATCATTAGTTTCCAGAATGCCGACAAGTCTAGAGATCAACCTAGATGTCTGGAAGCCTGGTTGAGTTCTCCAGATCCTTGGGGACTCCAACTCTTAGCCAGTGCAGAATGGGGAGCATGGCTGAAAGCATTACGGTAGGACAAGAGAAGCTTCAGGAAAAGCACTCCTGTGGGTGCTTGTGTTTAAGAGGCTCTAAGGTCTCCTCTCGATGACCAACCCCAAGATAAACCCCGAGAAGTGGAGAGAACATAAAAGTTTATTCCAACCAAAGATGCAACTGCCCAGAACATCTTACCCACATCCCTCTGTCTGCTTCAGCCTTCTCTCGCATCCTGCTTTCTCCCTCTCTCTGCTTCAGCCTTCTCTCGCATCCTGCTTTCTCTCACTCAAGGTCTTTCCTCCCTTTGTCTAATGACACATTTGCCCCAGTTCATAGTTATTCAGTTTTGTGCACAACAGGTCGATTTCAGCCCCTTTGAGGGATATTTTGTGTCCTCTTACGTTTTCCATTGCCATCTCCTTGTTGAGCTTCCAAAGACTTGTCTTCCTTTATTTTAAGCAAACAAACGTGGCAGAGCGGGGTTGGGCAGGTGGGGGTGGTCTTGCTATGAAACAAGGAGCAGCAGCTACTGGAACTTGTAAACAAGTTGATGCTGTGGTTGGAGACCAGGACTGGCGTCAGGAGATCTGGGTTCTAAGCCTGCTCTGCAACAGACCTACAGGTCCCCTGGCCATCACTGACATCTGTACTTGCTGGCCAACAAAGAAAGATCTTTAATAGTTAGCCATAGGTGTCTTCCTCACGAACCTTCCTTCAGCCCCTGGCTCTGATCACACTATCTCTCACTCATCACACATGAAGGTCAGGCCTGGTCTACTAGGCATGAGGACACTGGCCTGAGCTTGAGCCACTGCTCTGTTCTCCAAGAGCTTCCAGCCAAGTGGGGGAAAAGAACAATCAAAGTGACAGTTGCTCTGCAATGGAATAAATAATAACAATCAACAAATTTATCTGTCGCCAAGCATCCTTCCAGCACTGGCCACGTAGTAATGCATTCATTTCTCATAACAACTCCGTGAAGTGGGTACCACTGTTATCCTCATGTTACGGTGAGGAAACCGAGACAAGAAGAGGCTCAGAATTTTCCCAAGGTCACACAGCTAGTAAGTGGCAAAAGTTGGATTTGTTATAAGGTGGTCTGGCTCTTGAATAGATGATTTCAACCATCATGCCAAGTGCCACACAGTAGGACCACAGAGGAAGGGAAAATAGAGGAGCAGTTTTTATCCAACCAGGAACCACTGAGCAGAATAGAGCAGCCTCCTTGGAGAAGTCAGTCTCCATCAAATCCCAGCACAGCCCAGCAAAGCCAGACCATACAGAGGTCTTTAGTGAGGCAGAGAAATGGACTTCCCAAGCTATTTTCCCCCATGTAAGAAACTTCACCACCTCCGAAGATAAAATAATTTTTCACAGACTACCCAATGAAGGAGGATTCTGTGCAGCCTAGCCAGAAACGAGAGAATTAGAAATGGACCCCTGAAGTCCCGCTTTTATGTGGTGCACAGGGCTCTGGGTGGTCTCCAGGCTATATAGAACCTTGTCGAACCCATCCTCTCAGCCTGTCTGCCCAGCTTACGGCTGTGGGAACCTGGGCAA